GGGGGGGGGGCTTTATTTATTCATTTTTTTTATTATGAAATTTATTGTCAAATTGGTTTCCATACAGCACCCAGTGCTCAACCTGATTTGAGTTTCTACCTCTCCCACATTTTTGTTTCTTACATTATTTACTTTTTATTTTTTCAAACTTTTTTTTAAGTTTATTTATTTTGAGACAGACAGAGCAAGTGGGGGAGGAGTAGAGAGAAGGAGAGAGAGAATCCCAAGCAGGCTCTGCTCTGTCAGCACAGAGCTTGACTTGGGGCTTGATCTCATGAACTGTGAGATCCTGATCTGAGCCAAAACCAAGAGTCAGACGCTCAACTGACTGAGCCACCCAGGCGCCACTGTTTGTTACATTATTTTAAAGTAATTACTCACCATGCTATCTCTAATGGAGAGTGATTTAAAAAAATAACATCAGTACTTTATCACATTTTTTTTGATGTTTGTTTATTTTTGAGAGAGAGAGATAGAGAGCAGGTGAGGGGCAGAGGGAGAGGGAGACACAGAATCTGAAGCAGGCTTCAGGCTCCGAGCTGTCAGCACAGAGCCCGATGCAGGGCTTGAACCCATGAGCTGTGAGATCATGACCTGAGCCGAAGTCCCACCCTCAACTCACTGAACCTCCCAGGCACCCCAATGCCCTGAGGATATTTGCCATCCATTGCTTTGCTCATCGGTGAAGTGAAAATTATTCCTGCTCCTTAGGATTGTTGCTAAGAATGAATGGATGGATCTGCTAATTGGAAAGTACATACTTAGGACAGTTCCAGGCACATAGTAAGCACTGAGCATACATATGTTGCTTCTGACTTTATCATCCCTGCCATCAGTATCACCATCATTATCACTATGACCATCCATTGTCATCACCTTCATCACCATCACCACCATTATCATCATCACCTTGACCATCATGACCACCATGATCACCAAGATCACCACCATCACCATCACCACCATGACCATCATCACTATGACCACCATCATCATCACCTTGACCATCATGATTACCAAGATCACCGTTGTCCCCATCACCACTCTGACCATCATCACTATGACTGTCATCATCACCTTGACCACCATGACCACCATGATCGCCGAGATCACCACCATCACCATCACCATCCTGACCATCATCACCTTGACCATCATCATCACCATGACCATCATTACTGTGACCGTCATCATCACCTTGACCATCATCACTGTGACCG